TATTCTGTGAACTAGTAATAAATTCACTTAAAGTTTCATATTCTGCACAGAATAATTCATTTCTAGTAGAAATTGAAATTACAATTTTGGCATAACTGCGTTATGAATAAGTGTTAAGATCAAAATAAGGTAAAAATTTATCGCTTGATATATTTCAATAATAGTAATAAATTATAACATTTTGTAATGGCTTAGATTCAACTGTCAATTAAAGGCAACGTTCCAGCTGGCTTATTGATTTATATCTTAAAGAGAAGTAAATACATAAACTCATGTTTTTTCCCACAGCGCTTTCCTTTCGCGTTTTTTTTTTTATTTAGATAATCGAGGTACTACCTATGTAAGGAATATTTTCTTATACTAGCTGGTACCAGTGACTTCTTTCGCGTGGAATTCAGTGGTAGTGCCTTAGTGGTGAAGTACTCAACGCGACTGCAGTCCATGAGGCCTCGGGTTCGATTCCCGGACCCAACAAAATTTTATAGGGTTTTACTGAGAAGAAAAATAGCCTAAGTTACTGATTATATAGACAGCTTTCTGGTTGTAAAATATTATCGAAATCGGTCGAACCATTTTGAAGATTACCAGGAACAAATAGACAGACAAAAAAATATTTAAACTGGTTTTTAGACATAGGTATCGTGCAAATAACAGTGTGAACATAACAAAAACAATTATTTTGACATTACAAACAGACACTTCAATTTTATTTATTTTTATAGATATATATTTTTTACCAAACTATCAAATTCTTATAACATAACATTATTGCTAATGTTTATAATATATATATACAAATAAAATAACTTCACACATCACACACCGCAGTCTGGTCCTAAACTAGGCAGAGCATGTACTATGGTAACGAGACTGCTTATAAACATATATATTTGTAAATACATACATATTATACATAAATTACACCGAGACACAGAACAAACGACCATGATAACCAGTATGGTTTCCGTCACTAGCTCTCCACCGTGGATGCAATCATGAGGAGCTCGGATGCTCTCGAGCTCTGGCGGAGGAAGCAGTTTCCTGGGGCGAAGTGGTGTTGGCGGTGTCCTTGGACATCTACAAGCCGTAGATGGCACGGGGTCCATCGAGGTTTCAGGAATTTCCTAACTAGGGTACACCTGGTTTCCCGGCTACTGGTACCCCAGACGGCGTGCGGTTTTTGGTCGGTTCATGTCCGACATAACCACCGGCAGGTGGTATCCGAAGGGATTTCCGCACAGACAAAAAAAAGGTCATAATAGCACACGTTACCGTAGTCTATTAAATGGAAGATAAGAGATTGCACGAGCGCTGTTTGACTTTTTACGGGAAGAAAGGTTTTCGGTATAAAATATTCTGAGAATGCCGCTAACCCTCTGGCATACCTATGTACCTTGTTCGCGCCAGTTCAGAGCATAGTCGAGTTGTAAGCCTAGATCTTACACCGTTCGTCAAACAGGACATATTTTGTTTATATGATAAATAATTTAGAAGTTGACACATATTTATAGATAGCTAAATGCTCAAATTATAGTTGACACTATTAATTAACTTATTTTTAATGTTGAAACCGTCATAAAGTTTCGAAACGTACCAAAATTCACTTTTGTGTATTGATAGAAAATAAAGTTTTTTTTTTTTATCATTAAATTCGTCTTTTATGTAGACTCTAAAGTCATAGATCAACACACATAATAGCAGCAATCTGTTTTGATATGCAACAGAAACCCTTTACCCGGAGTTGCAGTCAACGTTCCCAGTATTGGAGAGTTATAATTAATATTTTTGGTACACAATAATTTTTTAAAGGTTTCTAAGTCTAAAAATTTGGCTCATTACTTACGACATTGGAAGATAAGTGTTACCTTCTTTCATTTCGAACTCATAAAATATAAAAGTTACTTTGCGTAAGTAATCGGATTCAGTAAATTCCTAATGCTGCAATATGATTTTAGGTTTAAAATGTGTAACATCCATTTCGTAAAAATATTTACTATAGAATTAAAGAGAATACTCCAAGTAATTGCACTTTAAATCCAAACTTAATAATTGAATAGGAGCTCTCTCAACCCTACTCAATGTCAGTTTTATTCACAGATGAAATTGAGAGGCGTCGTAGATCAAGACAGGGTCCCCATATTTGTTATGATCGATAACTTTTGGTATGCGTGTACAAGAAGCGAAATACAATAAATAAATTAAACGTTTATTTCAATTTTTTTGCGCGTTTAGAGGTATGGATAAGACATATTATGATAATGTTTGAAAAACCTCTTATATTCCATCTACAACGTCTAATTAAGGTAAAAAATATTCCGGTTAGTGGGATTTCTAGGAATAACCGTCGTCGGTGGGATTTAAACATACCACACCACTGCTAGCCCGAAGGCTATGATTATGACTGACCGAGATAAAAGATTAACCGAATTTTCATACACATTTTGGAATGGGATATCTTTCATACACTATACTACGTTTAATTATGCCATTTAGGTATAGAAATTGGACTAACAAAAAGCTTTGTAATGGCGGCGGACACGAATCTTGAAGACTTTATTTATTTTAGAAATCAAGTCACTATGAACATTTATGACTACCTCGGTGGTGCAATGGTATCGTATGAGAATGCTGTGCTGAGGTCTCGGATTCGATTCCCGGGTCGGACCAAATATTTGTATGATTTGCAAATTTTTGTTTCGGAGTTTGGGTGTTTTCTATTTTTTTTTACATGTTATGTATTTACAAAAATAGGATATAAGTATTCTATTAGTCAATTTAAATTTCATAGTAAACGCTCTGCTTAGCTTGAACCTACATAGCATTGTGTTTCAGATCACCTATATATTATTATTATTAAACTTTTTTTTTGTTAATAAATGAGGATACTAGCTGTTTCTCGACACTTTTAATGAACAAACATTGGAATAATGAAAAGAATAACTATTTAAAAAATAACAATATTGACTCACTAAGTAAATGTTCTTTGGAGACTATGCAAAATGTTTTTAAAAATGCTTTTTATTTAAATAATGATGCGAAAATGCTTGTCTCTCCATACTGCTAATACCCGTAATACTCATCTAATTACACCGTCCTGAGGTTCGGATTCCTTAGCTAGATTTATGGGTGGATTAGTACTAGGGCCCCCCAATTGCGAGGATTATGTTGTTTGGTGACCCTGTATTAGTATCACGTATTTATTCTCTTGGTAACGAGTGTTAATTATGAATAAATGAAATTTATAATGAATGTAACAGAAACGTGTTTAAAAAAAATGTTTCTTTTAATATTGGACATCATCATCAGCCTATCGCAGTTCACTGCTGGACATAGGCCTCTCCCATTGCACGCCACTTAGATCGATTTTGGGCTTCTCGCATCCAGCTCCTGCCAGCCATCTTGCGCAAATCGTCACTCCACCTGGCCTGTGGGCGTCCTACACTACGTTTGCCGAGACGCGGTCTCCACTCAAGAACTCGTTTTCCCCAACGGTTGTCGGGTCTGCGGCTAATATGGCCAGCCCACTGCCACTTCAGCTTGCTGATCCTTTAGGCTATGTCGGTGACCTTGGTTCTCTGCCGGATCACCTCATTTCTGATGCGATCCCTTAGAGAAACGCCGAGCATAGCCCTTTCCATAGCACGTTGAGCGACTTTGAACTTGTGGATCAGCAGTACCGGAAGTGTCCACGTTTCAGCTTCGTATGTCATGACGGGTAGGACGTACTCATTAAAGACTTTCGTCTTAAGGCACTGTGGGATCGACGATGAGAAGACTCGACGTAGCTTCCCAAACGCTGCCCAACCTAACCGAATTCTTCTGTTCACCTCGTCCAAGTTGTTTCTACCTAACTGCAATGTCTGCCCGAGGTACACATAATTTTGAAAAACTTCGAGAACGGCACCATGTACCGCAATCGGTTCCGGTAGTACATGTTCGTTGAACATGACCTTGGTTTTATCCAAGTTCATCCGTAGGCCGATATTGGACATAGATCTTGTGAATTACAATAATCTATATATATTTATAAGAGATTTCCACGTATATAGTCACTCATAGTCACAATTTGGTAGGAATATTCTTTTCACCGAGTAGAGGTCAGCTAAGAACGGATTTTAAGAAATTAAAAAAAAAAGAATTTTTAAATAATGTAAATAGACGTTTGCAGGGTCAGCTAGTTTATTATTAAATTTTTTGGGCAGATACTAGATATTTCAGATATTTAGATTATAGATATTCAGATATTCTAGATATTTCACAATAAAATCTAGACATTTCATCAACGTCATTAGTATTAAATATCCCTAGCTTTGTACCTCTTAGTTTTTTGTACTCATAGCTTTATATCTGATCATCATCATCAACAGCCTTTACTAGTCCACTGGTGGCCTCTCCTTAGAAAGGAGTCTGGCCAGACGGGTTGTCCTGCGTAATTTACGTAGTTTTGCGTATCTTATACTATACGAGATATGAATTTCATCCGTTTCAAGTTTAATTTGTCACTTTCCTAAAACTATTTTGTTCACATTCTTCACATTCTTTTTATGTTTTATAGCGCAAACGAGCAGACGGGTTACCTGATGGTAAGTGACTACCATCGTCCACGTACACATACAAGATACCTGTTACACACACTCAAGAGTCACAAGAGCGTGGCCACGAGAGCATGGTTATGAGATAAATACCAGTTCTAAATAAAAAAAGAATCGTTTCTAGCCTAAAATAATTATTCGCGATTACATGTGTTAATTGAGAATTTGAATACTTTTGTCATTTTTCCATTGGTATAGAAATTATGCAGAATATTAAATAGACAGATCTATAAACAAACGATGGTTTATATTAAAATAATAATAAATATTTGGGTGAAACGGCCTCAATAGTAATTATATTCTAAATGAACTTAGGAATTAATTATGTTCTAATCGAGTCAATCACGAACTGCAATTAAGGTTAAAAAATTAAATTCGTTTTTATTTATATATTAATTTTGTTGACAGTGACGAGTAATTGTAGCTGTAAGGGCACCCATATTATTCCAACGCCACCGATGGTAAAGAGCAATTCAGAAGATATATGTTGTAAGAAATGTCATCAGAAACCTCCAAAGGTAAGTTATATAAAGAAATTATTCTAACAGCATAACTCGTATTACCTTTTATTTTGCCTTATTTATGAAATAAGGGGTAAAGGAGTGCACGTTTTATCTGCTGGAAAGTCACTACCGCCGCCCATGAACCCATGCAACTTAGGAGTCAAAAGCGCGTTGCCTACCATTGAGCCCCCCCCCCCCCCCCCCCAATTAGGAGGAGGAGAGATTGTTATCCGATAACCTCAATTACTCGATGAAAAGTAACGAAAAAATCCTCAAAACCGGTTTTCTGTGAGGCCGTCGTATCATTCCGGTCAAACCCGTTTAATCATGCTGAAACATGGCTCTCCCACGATAAGATTATAACTCTTCGATGTTACGGCAGTTTTCAAATTTTCTTCAATATCGTTAATATTATTATTTGTTGTGATCGATTCTCAGATATTTTTGTGTTTGGGATTGACATTTCGTGACTGCAGAATGCTCTTCTCGGTTAATTTTTGCGTACAATTCAATTAAATTCCCGAACAATATGTTCGAGCGCGTACCACATTTATAGAATTATTCGCCTTACATAAATTTTATAAAAGCAAATAATTTTTTCTAAAGTTTTTACATACCTTTTATAGAAGTTGATCCCTTCTCAAGTATTTTTATTGACAAATTGGAATAGAGTTTTTCTTTCTCCCGTTTGTGACCTAATGAATCTGTCTAAAACAGTTATTGATGGTACACATTCAACTTCATCATCACTTTCAAATATTATCAAATAAAATATTAAAGCTTCTTCATCAGTTCACTTGAAATTTATTTCAATTGAATCTAAATGTGAAAATAATTAATTTATTGTATGTTTATACATATAATTAATTATTTTCACCTACTATTTTATTTAGAAGCTTCTGTGGCGACTCCCACACACAAAGAAACAGAAACATACTACAGCACCATCTAATGAAGACACACCGAACTACGGAGTAACTACTAAAATAAGAATTGCTAATCATGTATCGCGATATAAAGAATTCCCTCGCCGATTAGCATGTATACAACTTCCCAACATCAACCGTTGGGCCTCGGCCCGCCAGGCATGATCACCTCGCCTGGTCGGAGGATCCTCCCTTTGTGTTGGAGGGACATGACACCCGTTCCTTCACAGTGGTGACTAGTGAAGGATTCTATTATGTTAGTTTGTGTAGGCTTTAAAAACTCAAAAAGTTCTGGCAACTGACGAAAGACACTTTTTGCCTCTCATCTATGGAACGATACGACCTTCAAACCTTCAAGAAAAAAGCGTACTCCATCCGAAAAGGCAACGGCAACGCGTTTGTGACTCTTGAGTTGCACACGTTAATGGGCGGCGATGATCCTTTCCATCAGGTCACCCGTCTGCTCGTCTGTCCCCTCTATCATAAAAAAAAATTGAGCTCAAATTTTGACACGATATAAAACACGCTTCAAAGATAGTTTTTATCTATTTTTTGACCACAATGTGCCACAACGAAGCGTATCAGGGTACCGCTAGTATAATATAAACATGTTAAGTTGGCTTGTGTACGCTTTAATGGCTCAAAAAGTTCGGCACCGTTTGAGTTCACATTCTGATACAACATACAAAAAACTTCAAAGATTGCTTTCATTAATTTTTCGTATCTCTTTTGTTCTTTTTTTCTCATCAATGCATTCATAATGTGCCACTGTGAAGTGTCGCAGGGTACAGATAATTTATTATAAAATTTGTTTGATAGAACCTTGATATACAGACCAAGAAATGTTACCTGAAACCCAAATCAATCCTTGTCTGAAAGCCTCATACCTTTTCACACGCTTCATTCACAGTCAATCGGTATCAAGAGAGCAATATATCTGAAGTCATGCGTGTGGATGATTGAAATAAAAACTTTTTTGGTAAACATTCGGTTAACATATCTTTTCTTGTGAATTTTTTGTAGAAAATAGCCACCAATGGCGATTTGCCATGTGTTATGATAGATTACGTTCGGTTATTAATTTTTATAACATTTGAGTAATAGCTAAGCTAAAATTGCTAATTGCAAAATTTAATAACAATCTGCACTACAAGATTTACCTTATTATTGGTTCAGCGGATATACTCATAGTGGTAATGACTTATCTTTTTTTTATGGTATAAGGGGGCAAACGAGCAGACGGGTCACCTGATGGTAAGCAACTACCGCCGCCCATGGACACCTGCAACTCAAAAATCACAAGTGCGTTGGAGTCCCTCCCGCTCGAGTCAGTGGGATTTGGGCTCCGGTAACCTCACTCACTCAGTGAAAGGCAACGAAAGAATTGCTTAACACCGGTTTCACTCCGGTCGAGCCGGCCCATTCGTGCCGAAGCATGGCTCTCCCACGGTAATCTTTAGAAGCGTGCAGTTTTCTCAATTCTCGCATAAAATTTATAACTCGAAGAAAACTAGCTGGCAGTTTGTCCCGCTTAGTGTTGTGTTGTGCTGCCGATACTTTTAAACACTTATTATTTAACAACTTACATCGAGATCAGAAGACATCAGTTATTAGAAGAAATAACATAATGCTAGCAGTGTTTAGTAATTCCGGATTTTTGTAGATTAGTAATGTCTTTTATTACAGTTCTAACATCCTTTACTGCGGATTAAATTCAAAAATTTCCTTCTCTACTTTTTCCTAACCGAAATCCAGCTACACAAACTTTGATAACTACAGTACCGGGATTTCCTAGATTACTAATGTCTTTTATTCCAGTCAGGACATCCTTAGCCGATTATATTTGAGTTTTCTTCCCTGTCTTTTTTTACCGAAATCTAGCTACTTCAACTCTGAAAACCACAATACGAAATGACTAATATCCTATTTCAGCTGTACGATAAAGGATAGTACAACACAAATAAAATAAAACGGTATATTTACTGAATATAAAACCAACTATATTGTTCGCAGGAGTCAGCGCAGACCACAGAGTCCGACAACAAAAGCACTCATTCGTATTGTATGCACACCGTTGATTTGGAGTTCAGACATGTTGTCAGATCCACGCATATCGATAAGAGTATAGAAGCTAAGAGAAAAGTGAGTTGTATTCTTTTAATTAGGCAGATACTATATTACGATAAACAGACTGTTGATAAACATATTTATTTGTTTTTAAAAATATACATACATATTTATAGATAAATTACCCCCAAATAATAAATAATTGCGTTAATTTGTCCAGGATGGTATCAGGATGGTTAGCAGTCAGGATCACCTATCATTTTTTTTTTCGTTTTGAAACCCCCTTTGGCCGTCACTCCTCCGGGGCTTACGGCGAGGTGGTGTGTCGGCATCGGACCGACTAAAATCATACGGTGTGCTACTTTGCGCCTGTAATAGGAGAGATTCGGGACTGCTGTTATTAAAACATCTGGACTCCTCCTAGCGCCTGCCGGTACCTCCCTCGGATACGATCTTTATTTAGGCGACGTCCGGCATACATCGCCACCTCGTGGCTGACTGTTATGGCAGGTGGAGGGGAAAACCCGTCCTGTTCACCCGCAGCCACACTTAGGGCGGCATGAGGCGCTGGTAAGCGCGCCCGGTCATCGACGGCGAATTGGGTCCGAGTGGAGTTTATCCTCCCGGGCCCTCTCCGCAGCTTCCTTCTGCGAGATTACGTCCTCGCAGAAGGATGCAACAGTGGTAAAACAACTGTCACTACTAGCCATGGAGCGTATGACGGCCGATAGCGAGAGATCCTCTCCAATGACTGCAATGAGGACCCGACGCTGCGACACCCAAGCCGGGTAAATTGCCAGCGTATGCTGAGCTGAGTCCTCACTGCAATCGCAGCGTTAGTCGCCCTGCCCACTCGACGATGACCGGCTGTAGCGCCTCCATGGCGGCAAAATCAGTACCTGGAGCCTAAAGCCGGGACGACCACCGAACCATCGTGGCTAGACGAGCGGCCTCACGCCACTCGCGTACTTCTTCGGGAGGATCGCTTATAACTAGACCATTAATTAACACAAAATACAAATGTTTACAAAAGCAATAATGCTTACGGCTTAGTAGGAGCAAAAAAGCGCTGTTAATGTAAAAAATATTGTAGTCTCAGGTCAATCTCTTTCAGGAGAAATAGTTTTTGACTTGCAGACTGATCGTACTTCTCCGTGGAAATCATGAAGCAATTGAAACTTCACTAGGAATCAGATCTTTCTAGCAATTCTACAACTTAATCTTTTGTTACTTATGTAGTGTTTATGTAACTCGTAATCGGTTCAAATGTTTCCATTGTCTTAAATTCTGTTTTCTAAAGTCAGCCAAGGCCAAAGTCAAATAGAAGTTTTCGTGAGGAATTTTATCATCTCGGAAGTTAATGAAGTTCTGCGAATTTATTTTATTATTAAATAACCATATTGTTGTATATACACTCTGTGCGCTCGCCGCTATCCCAGCCTGCTTCTGCTAGGGTGACAGATGGCCTCACCGCCCAGGCCTGCGCTTAAGGAGGACGGAGGTAGTTCTGCAACCTCCGGCGCCTAAGTCGTCTGCGGGACCTAGCCCGTGCCCGAGCCTGGCGAGCCGGGAGAGTTCTAAACCTCTCCGGGTCCCGCTCCGCCATCTCCTTCGCAAGCATAACTTGCTCGCAGAAGGAGACGGCAGAGTTCCACGGACTCTCGCTCCGCACGATAGCCGCAATCAGGTTAGAGAGAGCTCCCACTCCGATGGCCGCCACGAGGTCTCCCCTCTGCTCCACCCACGCCCGGCATTCTGCCAGCGTGTGGAGCGCCGTGTCCACTGTCTGACCATCGCAGTGGTGGCACTCAGGCGTTGGCTTCTTGCGGATCAGACACAGGTGATCCCCGAAACACCCTTTCCCAGTGATCCCCTGCATCAGTCGGTATGAGAGGGTCCCGTGATGCCTCTCGAGCCCATCCTCCATAACGGGTCTTAGGGCCGCGATGACGGCGTGCCCGTGTAGTTAATACCCCTAAAAGAAACGTCTCTGCTCCAGCACAATGTTGTATATTTTACTAGGAAGTTATGTTTTTGAAGAATATTAATGATAACATTAGACATCCATCGCTCCATAAAATTTTGCCCGCGTTTTCTTGAAAGAGTTTTACGAGTGTAATATAAAATGTAAAGAGTATCTCAAATGAAGGTTACATATTCTAAAACAAGGCAAATATCTGTAAGGGATACAGATATTGTTTGCCTTGTTATTCCTACTATATCTTATAGTAAAGTCATATATTTGTAGTGCTTTGTTAATAATGTTTGAGGTATTTCTAGTCATAACTTATGTAGACTTTAATTTTAATCTGAGAGTTTGCCAGTAATTACTTACACAATTACTAATTACTTAATTAAATTACATAATTACCAGTTACATAATTAATATTTAAAAAAAATTGTTTTATTTTATTGTTAAATTAATGAAGTTGTACTGTAAAGGCTTAAATATAGTTTACTAAGTGAGACCATCCAGATACCTTTTGTGTAAGAAACGAATAATTTTCATACATACCCAAATTAAAAAATAGAACCTGCATACCACAAATTCCCGATGTTGATTATGCAAGGTTAGGCCACCCTTAAGCTGTAGAGAATATGTTCGCTATGTATACTTAAAGTCGGTCGTACTTTTTGTTTGTATAATAAATATATAGTTGAGTATACCCATAATAATGTATGAATACCACGAATTCGAAAACGTGGAAATCGAAATGAAACCATAAATATATTGTCATCATAAATAAGAAATCATTTCAATGATGTAATACATTTTATATGTCTCCAGGTAATACGGATGCTTTTTGTGATCATATTGGAGTTCTTCGTGTGCTGGACTCCGCTACACGTAATCAATACGGTAAGAATTTTATACTACACAAACAGTTACTTTCCAATTTACCCACGATTATGATCTCTAATTTGCTCCTAACATTATAACGTGTTTTAAATAGTTTTCTCAATAACTTGGCTTTCAAAGTTTTCTAAATCGGATTAGTAATTTGAGATGATAGCTTGTTAAAACAGTAAATTTCAAACTTTATCATTAGTACATACATTAATTTTACATGTAGATATTTATCAATTCGAAGCCACAAACTGGTATCAATTACTTTGGGATTAACCTGATCATCCAGCCAGAGACTAAACCGATGCTTGACAGTTGGCAAAGCTCTATGACATCTGTCAACCTGCGTTTCGCCGCAATAGATTACGTCGTAACTCGTCTTAGTCGGATTAAATCCATGATGTCCTAAGTACGATGGTCGTGTACGAGCCATTTCAAGAACGAAATACTGAAGAGAGTATTAAAATATAAATGACTGTTAGATAAAGTTGTTATGTAAAGGAGTTGAAAGTTTCGTCGTACTATAGTTTGTGAAATTAAACTTTAGAAAATAATAATAATACTCGTAATCTGACACACAACGCCATTTGGTTTCAAACTAAGCAGATCTTATACTATGAAAACTAGATGGACTGATAGAATATACGGATTTTTTTTGTGTAAATACATATATATTATACATAGAAAAAACCCAAAGTCCAAATCAAATATTTGCAGATCATACAAACATGTGGTCAGACCTGGCAATCGACCACTCTATGACACATGCAACTCTATCTGGTGCTTCTGCTGGTCTGGTTCTGCTGTGCCGAACGCGGTCATCGAATAGATGTAAAATAAACTCGCATGTAGGCCTCAGGACTAATTAGTCGAAAGATCAATTAAAGCGGAAATCAAATCGTCTTTTTTTCTTATCGAAATGACAAAAACGGAAATATATAAAAGAATTTAACTTAATTTCTTGTAGCTATATTATATTATTAATTTCGTCTGTTACAGTTAAATTCTATATCCAAAAATTATTCGGATAAATACGTCTTTTACTCACGTGTATATCTATCATCATCATCAACAGCTTATAACAGTCCACTGCTAGACATAGGCCTCTCCTTAGAAAGTAGGTTTTGGCCTACTATACCACGCTGGCCAGAGGAGTTGATATAGGGTTTGTTTTAAGTTTTCCTTCTCTTTACAGTGCTGTTGTCCTGCGTAGTTTGCTCCCTTAGTCGCCTCTTATGATACCCATGGGATGAATAGGGGTGGTGACTTTCCGTATTCTTAATCCGTCATCACACGGACTATATATCTAAGAATACCCAACTATTTTCTAACTGACTTGCTGTATGGTGTAGTGCCTCGTACTGACATACCTAGTCGTTTTCCCCATAGATGAAGATTAAAACCTATCTAATTAATTAACTGCGTAAACCTTGTCCAAATGGTTAAGGTTGGTTAGACTCGTATTCAAAGGTAGAGTAAATCTGTACTCAGCAATTATACGCTTTCAACGGTTGCTGTGATTAACGCCAAAATACATGATGATTCCTTTACGGCATGTTAAGAAATAGGTAGTTACAGTGCTATACTATTATGTATGTTCCTAGTTATTATCAGTGCAAATATTGATATGCATGGATATAAATATTTCTATGTAGAATAAAATAATGTATTTACAGTAAAATTGTCCGTGTATTAGATTTAGATCGCGTCGTGTTGCAATTATCGACCAGAAAGTGTTTGAGTATTGAGTTATTATGTAATCGGCATATTTTGTGAATAAAACTACGATACTTAAACTAAGGTAATCATTCTGACAATCATTTAAGTAATCTTTGCCAAAAAGGAGGAGTTTAAATTTAGGATAACTTGATAAATACTATTCAGAGTAGCTGTCGTGCCGTGCCCACTGCCAGTAGCAGGCTTTTGAAGTACAAGCGATTAATTGGCCTTTTCGTCCGTCCTTTATCAATCGAGATCTATTATGAGACACGATTACGATGTTGGAATTTCTCGTTAACCCCTTATAATTGAATTCCGCATGTTGATATCGGTTTTAAGACAAAACACTGTTATAAAAAATAACATAGTTATTAATTTAACCGATGTATTGTGCTTTCTGTAGAAGGTAAATAACATAGATAGATTAGAATTGGATGCAGTAGCAGGACAGTTGCAGTAAAATGTTTTATGCATCATATTATAGGATATGTGATGCATTCAAACTAAGCACAGATTCCACGCCCGTTCTAGAATACAGAATAAAATATTTATATAGTTTTACCTTATAAATAGGAATACCCAGGTGTGAAGGTGGAGGTGAATAGAAATATTTATTCATACTCAAACCTCTGACTGTGCTATGGGACGCAACGCATAGCTCGTCAATATAAATTAAAAATATAAAACCTATTCGGAATTCGCCGTAAAAAATTTCTACCTCATCAATTTTTTTTCAAACCTGATGTGGTTCGGTATTTTTTTTACACTTTATGGTTTGATAAATTGCTTTCTGTATTTATCCGATTCGAATTGAGGTATGAAAAACACTCAAAAGAGAATAAACTAGTGACTAACAAGCGACAACATGAACAAGTGAGTCTTTTGATTTCCAGCTCTTTTGAGCTTTGTGCTCGTAAACACAAGCTTTGGAGCGTGTGTTAACTCAAATTTGTTGACTTAGGGGGAAGCTAGGTTTGAACATTTACTTTCAACTTAATGCTATAGAGTATCCCGGGTTCTCTCTCTTATGCAGATAGGAAAGCCAGCCTTTTTCTAAAAATAAAGAAGGTAGGTATGAAATATAAAAGTACAAGTTATGAAATCTGTAAAAAATACAAACACGAATAAAAATATATAATATTTTTTCAATTTTTTTAGTAAGCATTATGAATGGATATATATACATAATTTTTGGAATACTTAATGTGTATATGTAGAAGATCCAGAAAGCTAAAATCCAGAAAAAGGGGGTTAATTATACATTTTTATCTATCATATTACAAAGGTCTAAACAATCACAGTTCAAGTTATAGTCGTTTATGATATAAACAAAACATTCAAAACTCTCAAACTTCGACTGCCAAGTGATCTCTAGAACTGTGTACTGTGTCATATTTACCTACTTATATTAATAGAGAGGTCTATTTTATGTAAGCATCAAAAGTTAAAATTACCTAATTATAATTAGTCTAATCTCTCTCTCTCTCCCTCCCTCTACATTATGTAAAATGACTAGAAAGCAGCAAGAACAAGTGATAAATAATAAAATCTAAAACCCGACAGCAATAGGACAATTATTTAAAAGTAATGCACTAAAAACACCAAAACAACACGAGGTCCTAAACAAATATGACCCATTTTGCGCTATCAAAATATTTTTAAACCAATTTATTATTCCTTGATTTTTTTTAAATTGATACGCTACCTGATAGGTTTCGTTTTTTTTAATCTATAACTATTTTGCGCCAAAATTCTGTCATTTTGTCTTTTATTTCAAAAGCCATCTAAAGAAGAAATTTATAAATAAAAAAACGTAACCCTTCCTTGGCAGTCGGGTAGAAATGACAAATGTTTTTGTATTCTGTATACGAAATATACTTCAAAAGGTATCACGTTTTTAGTCGTACATTTAAACGAATTGGAATCACACCAATGTACATGTAAATATAATTATAATTAATTTTCTGAGGCGCTGTAAGGCGATTAATTACTACTGTTTGCCTTATACGTAAAATTAATTGAAATGATAAAGACATATTTTTTATAAAGCCTAAATTTTTTACAAAACACTCTTTTTACTCTAACTGCACAAGTTTTGTATCGAAATGTACTCTGTGTTGAAGTGATCTTCAATTTGTTACCTGTTTTAGTAAGGAAGTGAAATTAGGTTTACATTTCATTTAAATTATTTACACTTATGCGTTTGATCAAATAATTCGAGTAAATAATTTATTCGATTCATGTTAATTCATTGGACTTTGTAACAGTTATTTTTTTTGTGCATTTGTGATACGTACGATATTGATAAAAGCGGCACCTGTTTGGCCGCATCGCTTTGATGTTGATTTATCTAAAGTAGTTTGTAGCTACGGTATTGATCTCCTTTGTTCACTTTCGGACCACTAGATGGCGTTGGTTTGAGACATAATAGATTGATAAAAAGACTTCCTTTTTTAATCTGTTTTGTTATTCTGTCATGTCAAATTGTATAGGTGTTGAGAGTGTTCAGCTATGGTGGAAAGCAAGTTACGTTTGATTTTGTTAGCGTTGTTTTCTTTCTCAATTTAAATGTCAAAGTGAAATGATGAAGAGGGGTTAATTTCTGGAAGATTCCTGAACCGAGGATATATAAGTCCGGCTTTCTACCACGAGAGACACTCTGCTATCTCGTGCCTTCCAACCTTAATAAGTGTTTTGATTGTCGTGTAATTTGAATTTCGTAATATGTAGTCTGTTTAAAGTACCCACACTAAAGTGGTGAGTATGTTCTTAATTCTACTTAAACCTATTTGTTTCTGGTACCTGTTTAATTATATGAGTGCTAATCCATTCGTAGGGTCCCAGATTTCGGGGTCAAGACAGTCAGTCTTAGACGGCGTGCTTGCTCTTTTGTGGCCTTCTGGTACAGACTCAAGTTTCTCGGTACCCTCTGGCAAAGCTGGTGATTGCGCGGCTCACGACGCAAGCGGACAGCCGTACCCAAGAGTTACGTACTTAAACTTATAATTGTAATTTGTTAAACTTTTATCCATATCCAATATAAATAGCCGACTCGGGCGGAAGAGGAAGTAACCTCCTGGAGGGACGACGAGGTAGGCACCGAGCACCATCAGCTCGGCTCTGACGCGCTCCGCTGCGGTTTTTTTTTTTATACCCTCTGATTTTTTTTTATTGTAAATTTAATTTTGTTTTGAAATATACATGTATGTATGACTGAGGTGTAAGTTGTTTTCCTCTAAAGAGTCCCGTAGGTTTCCCACACGCACACACTTCTTTTCTCTTAGAAGGCGCCCTGAGGTAATCTCATAGATCTCTCCACTGGGTCAGCCGGTGAGTAGTCCGCCTGAGAAGAAAAGCGGCTACAACTTTGAAGTTCTTTAAATATTTAAAGAAATTATCGTTTCATTCGTATTCTACACAAATTTATTGCTAAATATTTGATAAACCCTTTGAATTCTCCTTAATGCTTCGTGAAAATATTTGAACGTTGATCAGAAAGCAATTTATAATTTACTAGCTTTTGCCAACGGCTCCACACGCGTTTTTCAATTTATTGGGTAAACAAACAATATCACAATAAGATATGGTTATAATAGCGTTTTAAATTATACGTTATTGCTGATTCTTACATCCACACCGTTTACCATGAGTATGATGGACACAATATGTTTAGCAGGTTTAGAGTATTTT